TGGTGTTGATGAAAGTACATTACACGTTATTGATACAACTATTGGCACAAATGAATGTACATTTTCTGTTAATGAACGGCAAAAGGTGTAATTTAACTTTCATATAGTATACTTATCAATATGAGTAAATGACTTTTTTTTTTTCGTTTTTTTTTTTTCGCGATAGCAACGCGCGCCCGTGTTCAATATCCAAAGAAAATCTGTAATGGACGTTGTTTTCTGTGCCTTGTAAACCGTTATTTTGATGGGCGATAGCAACGTCCGTGTTCAATATCCAAAAAAAAAATCCGTCATGGACGTTGTTTTCTGTGCCTTGTAAACTGTTATTTTGATGGTTGATAGCAACGCCCGTGTTCAATATCCAAATAAAATCTGTCATGGACGTTGTTTTCTGTGCCTTGTAAACTGTTATTTTGATGGTTGATAGCAACGTCCGTGTTCAATATCCAAAGAAAATCTGTCATGGACGTTGTTTTCTGTGCCTTGTAAACCGTTATTTTGATGGGCGATAGCAACGCCCGTGTTCAATATCCAAATAAAATAAGAAGGCTAACACGTGATCTTGTATCTATTCAACTTTAAGTGGCGCTCCAAGTTTAACCTTCATTTTCTGATCTATAAGAAAGAAAAGGGCACGTTCTATGGTTCTATTCCCTCGAAAAAAAAATAGCGCTAAGTTCCAATTAGATCTGTGATTATCCATGCCCTGACTTTGATCAGCCCGGAAGTTATTCAGTTCAGGATAAGAGTTGATTCATATAATGGTTTACTAAGACTTAACACAGGGTGACCGCTCAAGACTTCAAGTGACACTCAGATTTTTCTCGTTCCTCTTACCCAGTCTTACTCAACTTACTTATGAAAAATATCAATCAAAGCATATAGGGCTCATGAACGTTTTTCGAGTTCCAAATTACCGCTGTGTTCCTTGATTACAGACTCATTTTCTCGGGATTAGCCTCGTATCAATGTCTAAATATTCACAAATACCAACAGTAAAAAAAGAATGCATAACTTCAACAATTGATGGGTTTCAAGCATTTCCGAGAGAATTAAAAGACAAAAGCATGGCGGCCATTGTGGTGCCGTTAACAATGGATACGAATGAGAAATCTTTTGTTAAATGGCACCAACGCTCCCCCGAGAGGCCGCGATGACGTAACGTGCAATCGAAGAATACAAACCACAGGCTAACCACTCTAATAAATGAAGGAAATACTAAATGGTGTCTTGTCTTTGTCTTTTTATGCGCGCGCGCTATCGATTTTTTGTCATCTCCCCTACCCCCCTTGGTAACAATTTTGTTTTTCTACTGTACAATATACTAAATATACAAAGACAAGACACCATTTAGTATTTCCTTCATTTATTAGAGTGGTTAGCCTGTGTACAAACACTTCGAAATTTCACGGACTTTCACTGGAAGACATGAATATTCTACACAAAGTTGAGGCTATCCCTGAGTAACAGAAACGTAAATGTGGTACTTCTATTTGTTTATTAACTGTTTGGTTTCATTTTCTAGGTATATCCAACAGACCTTGAACGAGTTGAGCATTTTAGACAATTTCAAGACTTTGTGGAGACGTTTCCTCTCTACAGAGGAAAGATAAAGTCTGGAGATAGAGAAGATTTGACAGACGTGGGAGAATTTAAGGTTTGTTTCGTTTCAAAAGAATGTCCTTCAGGTTTGTGCTGAGTGTACTTGCCATTTTATCTYATCTCTATCCTTCCTTTTTGCCCTTCTTATTTTTACTCGCCCTCCTTCTCCCTTTCCTTTTCACTATCTTCCATCTTCCATCTTTCACCTTTCATCTTTCATCTTCCATCTTCCATCTTTCATCTTCCATCTTTCATCTTCCATCTTTCATCTTTCATCTTTCATCTTCCATCTTTCCTCCATTTATTAATTTTTCCAGTTTCTTCCCTTCTTCCTACCTTTCTCTCTTTCTTTCATTCATTCATTTATCCATTCTTTCTTTCAGGGAACGTTTCGTGTATATCCCTTACCAAGTGACCCAGGTTCTGCTATGCCACCCAAGATCCTTCACGGCTTGCCATCTAGCCAACCAGTGGAATGCGTCATACGATTATACATAGTCAAGGTAACAAACAGACATGTTATGAGCGATCATCTAATTTAAGTTTTTCTGAAATTGCTTTAGCCAAGACTTCAAAAGATTTTGTAATCATGATAATAATGATAATAATAAATATGTTTTTATATAGCGCATTATAGACTCTCAATGCGCTTTACAAATACCACGACGAAGTGTCAAGTGAAAAAAAAATAGATTAAAGTTACAAATTGAACAAAAATGTTTTTAGTTTTCTCTTGAATATTTCCAAAGACTGCGATGTTTTTATATCTGGTGGTAAACGGTTCCATAGTCTGGGCGCTGCTACGGCAAAGCTACGCGCACCATATGACTTAGTACGATATATAATAAGTTGTTTTCGTTAGGTATAAATCCCTAACTTGAATTATCTTTTCTACGTACGCCAAAACGACAAATAAATATTCAGTGGAAACTAGTTTCGTTTAAATCAACCTCTTCAGTCCACTGCATTATAATCCGTTAGGAAAATTACAATCACGCGAACAAACACTAAATTCATMAAATTAAATGTCGATAACATCATTTACAACTGCCATCATGTTAATTCATCTTGATGGCTTCACCATCAGTCACTGAATGCGTTATCTTCATTCGTAGCACCAAAACCATCATCATCGTCATTATCATCATCATCGACATCATCATCATCATCCTCATTAACTATCATCAAAGCAGCAACAGCAATATTATGTATCATTGTTACAAGGGCGGATCCAGGGGGGAGAAAAAAATACAAAACTGTAGAATTAGATGCTTTTCTTATTATTTTCCGTTGTGTTGACGGAAGAAACTTAATTAGCCCCCCCCTGAAATTCTGGCTGGATCCGCCCTTGTTTTATCATTATTATTTATTAATTACGAGAGATAATGCTGGATTATCCTCTTAATAATAATGACTAATATATACTTTTCGTCATATCTCCTTTCAAAAAGCCAGAACAAATAGGGAATTTAATTGAAGGGTATTTCTTCGGGTTCAGTTTTCCTCCTTTTACCGAATTTCAGTTGGATTTTTGAATTTAGCCGTTTTCTGACTAAGTCCAGATTCAGGGTGCTCTCTGTGGAGGTTTGGGGATTACTTTGTTTCAAACTTTTCCGTGTTATTGCTTTTTAGGGCATAGATCTACAACCAATGGATCCAAATGGCTTGGTAAATTCTCAAAAACATATTTACTTCTGAACTTTGTTTTTTACTGTTAATCCCCTTTAGTAACCCGGGCCCCTTTAGTAACCCGGGGTTTTTTTTTTCTTATAGGCAGATCCGTACGTTAAGATAACACTGGGCAAACAGAAGATTAGCGATCAGSAGAACTACATTCCTAATACTCTGAATCCAACGATAGGAAAGTAAGGCGAAAGCAAATCAGAGTCACTCTCTTCCTACTAAGGGCCCTGACAAACTGCCCAACATTTGATCCAGCATTTGTTGGGTCGGTTGATAATAAATTTTTAGACCGTTTGTCAGGTCCCTTACCACAGGTAGCCCAAGCTTGGTTTCTGTGGTGTCATGTTATAAGGAAATGTATGGGGATTCATCAAAAATTTCAATATCAGTATCATATTGGTTCCATGGGATCCCTGTGGTAATTCTCCAATAGACTCMCCTAGTAAATCATATAGACATGTGTGATCTTTAGAGACCTTCGATTCGCCTTCAAGAGACCTGATCAATGCTAAAGTCAGATTTTCTGGAGAAAACAATGTCGTCAGTTGTATTTACATTTTATCGTAATCTTTTTTYTTTTACAGAATGTTTGAACTAACAGCCTTGATACCCATCGCTAAAGACCTCAAAATCTCTTTTTACGACTACGACATGATAGGCCAGGATGACTTGATTGGAGAGACTACGATAGACCTTGAGAATAGATTCCTGTCTCGTTTCCGTGCGACATGTGGCTTGCCTCGATCTTATTACACGTATGTATGAGGATGGATTCTGAATCCGAAAAATTATGTTTCGATCTGCACGCCGTCAATAGACACTAACCGTAATTGTTACTTTTAGTGTCAGATCCCAGGAGGACCATGGGAACATGCCTCCCTTTCCTCCCCTGCCCATTCTAAATCGTTGCTTATGACATTATTCAAGTGCAAACTAAACCCCATAGTCCACACAAAGATTTTAGCACAAGGCTACGTCCGAGATATGCTTCGTTTGTCACACACAAGGGTCTTAGCACAAGGCTACGTGCGAAATTAAATTTATTCTTTTCTCCTTTCACGAATCACTGAGTTTATGCACGAAGCCTCGCATTGAAACCTTTGTGCGAAGCATATTACGGAAGAGGGCTATTTAATTTGTTTGTTACTTGTAAACCTTCGAATTTCATTTGGCTGCATTTTACATCCTTTAGTAAATTGGTTAGATATATTTTTAAGTACTTGCGCATTTGTATCCAAGAAGAAAGTGTCTTTGAACCTTATTTATTAAGGACTTCTCTCCATCTTTTCAAAATCTTAGATTCGCCTCTTAATAATAAACGTCATTGTTCATACAGGTCCGGAAAGAATCAATGGCGAGATTCTGAGAAGCCCAAACAGATTTTAGAAAAATTGTGCGAGGTTGGAAGTTTTCGTCCTCCCAAGTACCTTGGTAACACTAGGCTGATTTATAAAGAACGTATTTATACCATTGAAGAATTCGGTAAGGAAAAAATCCATTCATTTGTATGGTTATTTGGAAGGGGGGGGGGGGTGTGGAGTACGACGTGTGGGGTGTAGGAAATGAGGCTCACATAGAAATAGGAGATGAAGCTCTTGCTCCACCAACGTCATCATCATCATCATCATCAACCTCCTCATCATCACAACCATTATCTTCACCCCTTGATTTATAAGTTTTTCTGTGGTTTGTAGAGGAAGGTATGACTATGAGTCCAGATCTTGGTCCTCCAGATGAAAGACTAGCGCTTCATGTCCTCAATGGCGAACCATTGGTTCCTGAGCACGTCGAAACTAGATCTTTATACAGCTCTCTACAGCCTAATATTGAGCAAGTAAGCTACCATTCTCAATTTGGCTACCTGTGGTTAGCCTCTCCTTATTTGTGTGACGTCAACGTACGGCGGGAGTTGACGCCGGTTCACAATTGCGCTCTTATAGGCTTTCACCATCACGCGATGGCAACCATGACAGTAGGCAAAACATTAGAGTCTTTTTCCCCTATGAAACTTAATTCTTTCTCATGTAAATAAGACTAGACAAGATTCAATTGTTCCTGTCAGGACTGCCATCACGTGATGGGGAAAAGCCTCTATACTATCGTCACAAACATCTTTCAATTCTATAGGGCAAAGTGCAGCTATGGATAGATATGTTTCCTGTAGCGCTCGGTCCACCAGGACCTCCTGTTGATGTTACACCAAGAATTCCTATCCAGTAAGTGGACTTTTTTCCTCAAATGTCTTTAGTGTTTTGGAATAAAGAAATAATGCTTTAATAGGTCTACTATGGGGTCCAAGGTCGCGGCGATTGATGGCGACATTAGGCGACATTATCAAAATTGGAGTAAAATGCCGCTGCGACATATGGTGAAATTGGGCGACATTAGGCGACATTAGCAAAATTGGAGTAAAATGCCGCTGCGACATATGATGAATTTGGGCGATATTAGGCGACAT